TCTTAATAAAGAGCTTTGTTTTGAAAATTATGTGATGCACTGAACCCCCAAGGCAAAATCTCATTGAGTTCCAGTTATTTGGTCTAAAAACCACTTTGATAGCAGTGAAGAGGTTCCTGCTTCATTGTACAGTCTATGGCTTACATGATTCACTTTTATCGTTGCTACATAACTTTCAAATAGTCCAGTATGTCTCTAAATGAAATTTTACACGTAGATAAAAAAACAAACCTTAATATCAACCCAAAAACCATTAGAATAATTGTTGGTATGTAAATACAGAGCTAAGATTGATGACTTGGAAATAGAATGTAAAAATCTGTCTGGATTTCGTGCCTTCCTATATACATTGTATGCAAGACTTTCTTTTTTTTTTTTTTTTTTTTTTTTTGGCATAGACTTTCTTCCCTCAGTTCTGGTTAAAATATGAATTCTTGAAGATATTTACATTCATTTTGTGACCTTCAAACCATTATGAATTGATAACCTTCATTTTAGTGGCAGTGTTTATGTTAGAATTCCAACATCTACACTTGTAACATCATGAATAATTGCTGTCAACATCGTAACAAAAAAATTTTGCCTAGACAAGGATTGAAACATGACAAGATTCTCACTGTCTCACTGAGAATTTTCCCTTCTAATAATATTTTTCATATTAAATAATTAATCTTAAAAATTCTGTACCTTGATCTTATGCATTTTTGACTTGAATCTAGCTCAGGAACTCCCTCATTGTTTGCTCTTGTCTTATGAAATAAACCACATATTCTTTCCTATGAAATACTACTGGCACCAGACAAATTCATGAGGTACTTAACCACTGGAAAAATTAGCACTAACATACAATGAATAAAATGGAATATTTAATTCAATACAATAAGCTTAGTTAGCCAATAGATTTTTCCAAAGTTCTGCTAAATATATCAATTCATCACTCCATTATATTGAAAGCAGAATCAATTTACTGCAGGCAAATTTGCTTTAGCTGAAGTTACAAATCTTTTTTTATTTCCCCTTTTTAATAACAAAATAGCAGAAGAGTGGAAAGGAAGTATAACACTATTCAGCTGTAAATCGTAATTAAAAATTTCATTTGATCCTCAACTACTATGACATACTAAGACTGTAGAAATTTAATAAATAATGTACATTTTTCAATTAGTGATCAGGTGAAAACATTTGTTTTCAAAGAAGAATATCAGTTTTGATAAAAAGTAAATAAAGATAAGTGCATAAAACTGTGCATGTATGTTAAATGTGTCATACAGTGTATATTACATCCGTGTTTTTAAAAAAACAAATTTCATTTTACATAGATTTTTTCCCCTCAGGGTTTGTCCTGTCACTTAACTCTTCATACTGAATTTGAACAAAGCAATAAAGATGATAAAATAAATTGTTACTTCCTTCTAAATTTACTAGAACATAAAGGTTCTTTCTAGGCATTTAATAATTATTGTTGACTCCATGAAATTTTAATGTTCTACCAGAGAAAAGAGTATACAAAAACTATGATTTCTGATCTTTGTATGTACACTGACATTTATGTTCATCAAAAACAATTGAGTTAGAGCACGTTTTTTAGTAATATGGTCAGCTAATTCAATAAATAATCACAAAAACATACAACAAGACAACGTCCCATAGTCTGCTTAAAATATTTCAAGTGGATGAATCAACATACATGCAGGTCACTAGGGCAATCCCAGGATCAAATTGTGAACTCTCCTGACAGACTGCATTACACTTTTCAAATATTTGTTCTGTAAATTCATGTTTTCATCAAGAGAGTATCTCTGACTCATTAACCCATGAATTCTAGAAGGCTATCTGCTTGGCAATGTGTTATCATTGTGAGACAAAACTGTGAAACATCTGCTGCCTGGGACTTAAAAATGGATAGCTCATTGAAGAACAAAACAATAAAAAAGAAACAAAAGTTTATGAACATAATCCTAATAAATTGACTGAAAGTTGCTATACAAAAATATTTCTGGATGCTAAATATTTACTTTATGTCACTGACAGGTACTAGTACTCTTAAAAATCATTATGATAGTAATCCAGTAAAAGTACTCATCTGAGTTCAATTGTGTCACAAATTTCATATAATTTTTCAAAATCCAATTACAGTTACAACAGGATTAACATCAACTGCCTGTTCTTCTTTTATAACAAAAATTGTAATTCATCTGCATTTTTATATTGCATTACACTTACATAATTTCATTTGACCTTGTTGGTCTGACAGAGCTTGAAGTTGGGTGGTGGAGGAGAGGGAGGGGAGGAGAGGGAGGGGAGGAGAGGGAGGGCGGGCAGTGTAACACAGCAAGGGGGAGTAAGGGTTTCTGTTCATCTACAAAGATGTAATTTGTATGAAAAACTGACAAAGAGTTTACTTTAGATATCAGAATTAAGCCATAAATTATACAACTTAAGGGCACACTGAGAAATAAACTATGTAGTCTGCAAAGATTTTTCCACACAGCCTCAAAATCATATCTATTGTTTGAAATATAATTTCAGAATAATACAATCTTCCAAGAGATACGCATTCTTTACATCAAGAAAGTAAATTAACTATTTTCAACATCACTTTTTAAACCACCCTATTATTAATATGACTACATTTCTTAACATAGCCACAGTAAAAATTATTTCAGCATCTCAAAAAAAAACCTATAGGAAACTCTTGGATAATTTCTTATACAGAAACACCAATTTGGGTACATACACCATACAAAGTTGACAGTTAATCTTTCAGAAAAATAACAGCCTACTTGTGAGTCTAAAAAATGAGATAAGTCAAATTCACCTTTTGGTCACTGATATAATATTAAAATTTTGTACTTCAGAATTTCAATTATTTGCTGCAGCTGTTTATTTGAACACACTGCACTGGACATCAACAAACCATACCCAGGTTGGGGGAAATGGGAGCTGTATGAGTTATCTCAAACAACTAAAGTACTAATGACTCATTAAAAGTTAAAGCTCCTGGTGAAAAAAGCAAATATCTATACCCAAATACTTCTTTGCGTGTCATTTGAACACAACAACTGCAATATTCCTCTTAACAGGAAAATATGGATACAAAATAATAATGTCCAAGCAATCACAAATGCGATAAGAAAAAAAAAGAAAAGGAGGCTGGCACTTCAACTATGTAGCTATCGACGACAAATATTGAGAGGTCATTTTAACCCTAATTGAACCATACATTAAATCAAGACAAAACATATCAGAGAGGCAGGTGGCTTTGAAGCAAGACATTGAATTCAGAAATCGACGAGGTTTCTTCTGCAATAAGTGTTTACATTAGCAAAATTGCTCCAAATTTATCTGTGGGTAAAAATACATGTATAACTTAAATCTTTGTGCATCCCTCTTTTGAATTATATTGCCCTACATCCTGAACACTGGTACACGTAACATGTACCAAATATTGGACTTCTGAAAAAAGATATCATTAACCACTAAATTTATCCTGTGGTTTTGGAGGACATTACGTCAGTAGTGAATTACAGTTGTATAACTCTTTCAGAAAAACCAAACCCTGACTGACAATGACTTTGCAGATGTTTCATTTCTGTGGCATTTCTGATTCATAAATTTTAAGTTCATATATATCATGATATGAGGTCAAGTTATAGACTGTCACAAGTGATTTAGTATGGAACTCATGACAGGCTCATTTAAGCTGACATTGAAACTTAAACATCACAAAGTTAGCAGTAGGAAAGTAAAGCAAGTGAATACATTCACAGAGGGGGCCAAAATCTCAAACAATCACATCTCTTGCCACATCAACCAAAGATTTATTCCAACTGTGAAAAGTTTAAAAATTTTCTTTCGACAAAGACATTGCCTGAAATTAATTACACCTAATTGTGATGGAAGACACCAGTTGCTGCGGGCAAATATTTGCGATTAGACTTAAGATAACGGTAATTTCACGAAACTTCTTTGTTTAGTTTGGTATGATTTGCCATAATCACACGGCCCGTCCTTTCGGTCGATTTCTCTACAAAAGCGTTATTCATCCCTTGCCGCCTGATTTGTTGTCAGTCGTATTCCGAATATTAGCTTTCTGTTGTTTCGATGTTTATCCAAAAATATACAAGTGCTAACTTCGTACAAGGAGGTTAAACATCAAAATAAATTACGAAGTTCATTTGGCTTTATAATTCAGACCCAATTTTCCTGAAAATGAAGCTTCAGCGATCAAAAATTTTCATGAATTTTGACATCCAAAAAATGTTGAAAAGAGCTTTAGTAATTATGCGTTTGACTCTTCGCTAATTTAATGAACGTCGTAGTATGGAATGGTTAATTGTCCAAGTGTAGAAAAAAATTTAACCGAAATATTGTCATTTAGTAAATTAATTTGGTAAGGTAGACAAACTTGACATGGAATGAAGAAAATACACAAATCGACGTTCAAAAAAATATACAGGCGGCTTATTAGTCGGGCATTCCAGAAACCATCACCAGTTCAAAGATGGTATGATTTCGATTAATAAGATAGCAAATCAAGCTCACAGCAAGTAAATTAATCGCAGTTACATTGCAAAAAAGATGTCACAACTGTTGAAAGATTTTATTTGCGATAAATCCAAGTTATGAGTTATTACGTTTGGGAGAAGTCACCGACAAACGTAAAGCGGATTTGTGAAGCACGAAATATCTATTACAAAACACTTAATCAAACGTGTTTGAAATGTAGGACTTAACTTATTTTTCAATTTTTACGGTTTTATTAACACGTACAACATAATAAGAGGCAAAGTTTAGAGAGCAATCGCAAAGATCACGATTAAGAGCAGCAATCCCACGGGAAGTCGTGTGTTTTGGCGGCTCCCATGAAGATTCCGGAAACGATCAAAGACTCTCACGACCAGCCATGCGATCTAAATATTCACACCCGCAAAAAGAGTACATTTATTTATTGTCTAAACTTCACATGATATTACAAAAACACTTAAAAGCTGACTCACCGTATTTGCTAGTTCCAAGAAGTTACTTGAACGAGACTGTCCCTTTGAATTCGCCACAGACATGATTTGCTGTAGAGTGGGATCGCCGTTCAAATCATGAGCACCGCTATCTATTTCCCAGCTTTCTTTTCCGCTTGTCTTGTCGTTCAATTTCTTTGCACTCATTTCGTCGATGGTGTTATTTGCTGTCACTTTTGACTTTTCATGTCCTTTTGCAACGTGCTGCCGTAGATTTTCCAGAGAAACTAGTCCATCACTCCTCTCAGATCCCAATTGAGAGATGATGTCCCTTACGCTGTTGTCCTCCAAACCAAGTTGCTTACATGTTAACGAGATATCAGGACTGCAAACGATTCAAAACAGACACAACATGAAGACAAATAAACTCCCGGTAAGCCACCAAACAGCAGTAAAATGATTAAACAAAAATCTGCTGTGACAAGTATACAAGACAATGTTATGCTATATGAAATAAGTCGCTTGGGTGTCACGAAAACCTGAGATTCACTGACCCGAAACCAAACCACGCTAACACCAGTTTCCCGCGTGATTAAGCTTAAATGAACAAGAATTTTAAGACTTTACATCCTTCAGACACAACAGCATACCTTTCAAGATAGCCACTGACCCGACCGTCTCTTGTACTTAGAATCTTTCGAATGCTTTCCTCTAAACTTTCTGTCGAAGTTCGCCTCGAACTCGTCGATGAAATTGAAACGGACAACCCATTCTCGTTGTCGCTCATAGCAATCCTTTTCACTTTCGTCTCGCTAAAACTTTTCTTCGAATCTTCCTTACGCTCTGAGGGTGATCTAACCCATTGATTATCAACTATTTATACACAAATGGAGACAACAGCGAAAAAACCCTTTTGTGATTATGGTGGTGAACTTTCTTAAATTGCGGGATGTCGGAAGCTGATTGGTTACCTAGCTTACGGCAAGGTTTGGGTTTTCCACTCTCCGGGGTGGATACGGGGCTTCTATCAACCGTATTTCTGTGCGCTGAAATCCGTCTTTCATGATGCATTACTTACAAAAAGTGATTAAGCTATCAATCAATTCTATCAAATGCTACATTCTGAAATCTCGAGAAGTATGAAGTCTCATCAATAGAGCAATTTTCCGTTACATGTAGGAAAAAGACCAAATCATCTTCTGACCCTACCCCGTTTGCGTACAGGAAGCCACCATGTTTCCGTTTATTTCGTAACATTTGTAATACTTGTCTGTTTATGAATGAAATCAGCTGGTTTCTTTTAGACAAGTTTCGTTCACTATTGTTTAGATTAAATTAATTCATACCTTCAGCCGGCACATTTAATATGAAGCAATACTCGCGATTAGGGTTGCAAATGTCTTTAGTTTGTCTTTTCAGTACATGTAAACAAACAGCCTCATCTTGGGTGATCTAAACTCTTATACATTTTGATAATTATGTTCTTCGTACTTTGTTACTCTTACATCTTAAACACAAATTAAACTAGAAAGGTAAAATAGTTTTAAGGTCACATTAGATGTCTTGTAAATAAAACCGGAGCTTTTGTCTTCAACCGATTGAGGAATAGGACTTTGAAATTCTCCTTAGATGTACGTCTCCACGCTAAAATGTAAAAAAGGCCTTTATAACAATTCATTACAATTCTGAAGTGTTTACCGTAATGAGGATTATCGCTATGATTAGAACCGACTTGAGTGTTATTTTTAACCGTTTTTTTAGTAACTTAATTTACATGTCATCGAATGTTACAGCAAATGTTACATTTAAAATGTTACATTGCAAATGTTGCATGGCAAATGTTACATCTTTTAGATTGAGCTCTTTATTTTTAGCTCGGTTTTAATGTTTTGTCTGATGTGAGGATTATCTCTCATCAGGTGATAAGACAGAGTAAAAACATGATAAGTTGGGGTATGACTTCAGGTACCATGGTTTTGACAAAAAATATTTACTTGCAATACTATATCGTAACGAAATGCTATAGAAACGTTTTACGAAAACAGCATCAACGAAAACGCAAACTTTGTGAAAGGTGATAAAAATAAGATTATATTGAGTAAAATCTTGTAAAAAAAAAAAAGCCGCACAACCTACATCTCATATCACGAGACAGTCATACCACGATTAAATGAAATTTCAACCAAGTTTTGAGCAGTATGAAATTGCCCTGAAAAGTGGAAACCTTTCAAAAGTCTAACAAATCTATCCTGTCATAATTAAAGTCTTTTGATATCGAAGATCACGCTGCATTATGCCTGACTGGTGCAAAAAGACGTCTTTCCTTTCGTATAGCAAATGACATAATATATGAAATGAAAGGGAAAGGCAAAAGAAAAGAAATCGAAATTTAGCAATAGTACCGAAATTATTTTTTCCTGGTCCTGTTCAAAGATTCTTCTTTCATCCCCTTTTCACTTCAGAGAGTAAATGGGGGCAGCATTGAAAGTCATGATTTTTTCAGTTTATAAGCTAAGCGACGTAATCCAACTTTATTACATAACTGCACGTGTTAATCGGTATGGCTGAGAAGTATGCAGTGAGACCCCAAATTGAGGAGTACTCGACCTGTAACAACATACAAAAGAAAAGAGGTAGTCAAACCATTTTTTAAAACTCCGAAACGGCAAACTTTTCCATTTGTTGTTTTTTACAGTTTTTTCTACAATCTTTAAAAATTTTCGTGTAAGTTCAAGCTCGTTAGGACAATTACGTATTCCCAGAATAAGAAACAACAGGTAGACATGCATCAGCAAGATTGCACCATCTCAAATTGTTATCCATTGAGGATAGAAATAGCGCAAGCTTTCATGTTTGAATTGAAGGTTCCCAAAATTTAGCTGCAAAATTGATGAAGCGAAGGGCTGATTTAAATATTTGTCTGCTCGACGAGCCACTCTGGAATAGTGACACCTAACCATTTAACTGAAGTGAAAATCTTTTAGGGGTGTCAATACCTGGGTTGAGGCAGGCCGTTAAAATCCACAAGCGATAACTTATCCACGCCTCCCTCATTGCCTGGCCATCCAAGCTTGGAGGAAAGTTCAACTGATGTCAAGTACATTGCGTAATCGAACGTTGTTCGATCAACTGTTAAATGCGGGAAGCGTCGAGGACAATTAGTTATTCAGGCGGCTTAAAACCTTTCGAATTAAATATTTGTGGGAATTTTTCAGCCATACCATTCTAAAATAACCTCTCTCTCGCCCCTTGAACTCTGTAAACCCAACTAGACCTTTCACTTCCGCTCTGACAAGGATCTGAAGCGAGACGCTCTTTGGGGCTTTAGCTCCCACAAATAAACAGTTTCACCATTCGCTATAGTCCAATCTTTGGTGCGCATGCACTGCACTCCCTTCGGCCGTTGTCTTTGTGTTGTGTCATTGAGAAAGCCGCTTTCCTGTCACCGTGCTTCTCTCCATTATGGAGTACAAAGCTGTAGCCATAAATTTGGAGGGGGGGAGCAGGGAGGGGGGGAGCAGGGAGGGGGGGAGCAGGGAGGGGGGAGCAGGGAAGGGGAGAGAGAGAGGCTAGCCTGTAATGGATTACCATCTCATTAAATGAAAGTGATGAAAGTGATAGCATTGCACCTTCCAAGCTGCATGATATGGTACCGGAAATTTGAAGGGGCACCTATTTTATTAAGTCTCGTATGCGGACGTCATTCTTATACAACAAGATTATGCTTTTTGATCTGCTTCTTTTAAGCCCTGGCTTAAAGTCGATCTTTCTCCAGTGAAGCAAAACAAAAAACAAAACAATAAAAAAGACTCGGTGCCAATCTGTAGTATTGTTGGGGATTAGAAGTATTTGACTTCGTTTCCAGCGTCAGTTGCGTTTTTAAGGTAAAGCATGCTCCAGAGATCATAGCTTTTTTTATCTCCGAAAATAAAATGTATATGCTGACCTCCTTTTAAAACCTTAAATAGTAACCTAGCCTCTTTAAAATTGTCTTCAAATGTTCGGACTCCGCCATTTTGAATCGTTATTGGTAATCAGGCCTTTTTCTCTTGTTCACTCTTCATTTTTTGGCGATCAGTTAGAATCATTAGGAGTTGCAAATAAAGTAATTCAGTCTTGCGAGCTGTGTCACGTAGTTTGTGAGAGCACCAAGCTTGCTAAGTTGGTTTTAATATGGCGAAGTCTATAACCGAATTTTGGCACATACGAAACTATGTCGGAACAATGAAAATTTAACGGTTTCCGGAAAGAGATTATAATCTATTGGTTTCTGCAGGTTTCCGGAGCATACTTCCCTCTGAAATCCAATGAAAATTCCCTGGGAACAAGGTTAAAGCAGAAAGAAATCGAGTCCCAGACTTTGATGTTTTTCGTGTCTTACTTGTTCCTTCAATTTCATCGGAGCTCGGTATGACTGAAAACGAAAAATTGCCTTATTGAAAAGCATGTGCTTTAGGAGTAAGAAAAATTTTTAGCGGAAAATAGAACTAAGCTCATTTAGGTAACCATATCAGTCAGCTTCATTCAATTCGTAAGATGATATCTTTCGGCATGATACGTTTTGGTGCAAATATTAGCCATGGGTATTCATGGGTATTTGAAGATCAGAACCAAAGCTGTCATTGTCTCTTTTTATCTGTTTTTGTTTTTTATCTGTTCCATTTCCGTTTTTTTTTTCGCTTTGTTTTCTTTTTTAATTCTATGGTGTTGTTTCCACATTCATTTTCTTACTTTTATTAGCAGTTTTGTTGGAAAAGACCCTATATGATTTCGAGAGGTCTCAGACGTCTAACCTATGCGACTCTACTGGTTAAGCTTCAGGTGAGGTTGCAACAGGAACATTCGTGATGTCATAATCCTTCCGTGTCTTTGAAACTGACCACTCAAACTTCTACTAGGTATTAACCACATTCCATGTAACGTATAAAGAGCCAGAAAAAAAAAAAAAGAGAATTGAATCGTCAACTTACTGATTGATTTAACAAGCATCATAGGGGGAAACACAACACTTATGCAAATAGTTTATTTTAAGCTCCTAATTCCCAATTTAGATTGGCGACAGTAAAAAAATTTAAGCAATTCCTCGTTCGAAAATAATTTCAATTTTGATGTCCTTTTTCAGCTCAATGAACACACTGTTATGGTTGTTTCTGAAGGAGATGAGAGATATTGCTGATTTTTATGGTGTTATTATCCCACGATTAAATCATAGGTAAAACAGTTTTGTTGAAAACCTTCGAAGGAGGACATATCATGTAAATCAAAACAGTTTTTTCCCAGTCGGTCCACGGGCTGTGAGTATAAATTCCATGGTTGTATAGAGACCTTGTTTCGTTTGCTCTAATGCATTCGCATGAGCAAAAGGGTTGGTGAATAAGAACGATTCTTCTCCAACAAATGGGAGAGTAAAGATTCATGTGCTCGCAGTTGTTTACATAACCGTTTGACGAAATCGTCGGCATTTATTGTGAGTGGGTGACATTTTACGGTTTTTCCTTAAAGATCTTTTTTATGAAAGAAAATTAAGCGAAAACAGGGGTGGATTTTGCTGGCCGCGTTTGCATCTAGCGTGGTCTCAAATATATCCAATGAAATAGTCATACCTGGATTGCGAAGTCTTTGGTCGACTCGTCCGGCCTGAAGCACACGAAAAAGTCGATTTAAGTCTGGCAACTGCTTGCCCTACTCTTGAACTCATGGCATGGGAGTTTTACAGAGATGTACTTATCCGATATAGAAATTTCGCAGATGTATTATCAGTTGGGCTATTAGATCCAGCTTTACCACTGTGTCAAATACAATTACCATTACCACAATACTGAAAGGCTGTAATTCAGCTAGGTAAAGACAGCTATAAGATGGCGTATATCATGTGATAGATACATGCTACTCAGCTGGCTGTGGAGAGGTGTAAATGGTTTCCTAAACCGCCCGTGATAGTTGTAGTCTAAAATGACCGAACCTCTCAGTTGAAGGCTCTTAGAACTTCATACGAGCCAAACATCTCGCAAATAAATTGGATTTCTGGGGATTTATCCGCGGGAGGCAAATAAAGTCACGATTTACCCAGAGACGTCCCGTAAATGTATACTTTTGTGGTTTTGAACTCCTCAGCTTCTAGACAATTTCCCTTTCTTCTGGCCTTTGAAATATGTGTTAGGTTGAATATTTCACACCTTGGCAAAGTGAATTGTGAGCCTTCAGAGTGAAAATTCTTTTTACCACACTCAAACGGCTCTGTCCTTTCTCGCATCGCCGCATTGTTAGTATTATCAAGAAAGGATTAAAGGAAAATCGCTCTCAATAAAAAAAATGATTTAAACCGATTAACACTGATCTCTAATCCCATGAAAATAAAAATTCTGGAAACACTTATGCTGTTTCAAATATCTGCTTCTGAGTTCCTTCGAGTACCAAGAGGCATCATCGACATTACTGCAAGCATAGACATTTCTTAGCTCACTTATCGAAGCCCAAGTAAAATTGTAAGCCAAACACCAGACAAACCAACGAAAGGCGTAGTGTAACTATCAAATCAGCTGATAAGCTTATCTATCCAGTCAATTCGTAAATGACAAACATAGCTTACCTTTGTATATCCGGTTGTGCATGCCTTGTTTATGATTGGAAACATTCGATAATCTAATTGTTATATCTGTCTAGATGTAAGACCTTTAACGGTCTTACGGCACGAGATTTCCTGCTGCACGCGAACATATCCTCGTGCCACTTACGTCCTAGGCTCCCAGCCACCAACATCACAAGACAAATTACATTGAGACTTGCGCGATGTTGTTCAGCTAGGAAGAAGTAAGGCACGTCTGTTTTTGTTTCTCGTGAATCTCGACTTTTTATTATTTAGTTCCTTTTAGAAACTGCGGGGGCGTTTTTGGCTTCCCCCGCTTTTCTTCCGTTCCTTTTCGATTTCCGTTTTTCTCACTTTCAAATGAAGAAAAAGGCTAAAGAATTGTCTCGTGAATACCAAATAAGAAGAGGACAAAGTTATAAAAATCATTGAAATGGAGAAGTTCAATCAATTTCGACAACCGGTGATTAACTTTGTGGTTAATCATCAGGTGATCAACAGCTATTGAAATTTGGAATAGAAAAAAGACACTTCAAATTTCAGGCGATAGCACGTACGTCACGACAGATTTCCGTGACAAACATAAAAACAGGATGGGCGCGTCTTTTGTATAACAGGATCTGGTATAAGAGCCGACTGTTAACTTTGGACACAGAATGTAAATAGTGGAACGTTCGCGTCTGGAGAATATACGAGATTCTTGACTTCTCAGTTACGATTCAATCACAGCGTTTCTTTAAATAAATTACATTTAGGATTTAAATACAAGACTCTTGCTCACTGATCGCAATTGTGTAAAAAGAGATTACGAATTTGTTTTTTTAAGGAAATGCAAAACATTCTTTAGTTTTCCTTTTGCTCGGGTCTAATGAATACTCACCAGAAGTCGCTTCACGTTAAATTTTTTTTATTCAACGCTTTCTTGTACCCCTCGGTCTTAAATTGATGATAACCCCAAAAGATTTTAATGTCTTAAATATTTGAAGAGACAGCCATACGAAAATTATACTGAAGACTACGCTAAGAAGATCTTTAAACAATAACTGGATACCTCATTTTCAGTTGTTCTTGTAAGTTCTGTCTTCGGAAGACAGTGGTCAGTTAATACGAATCACTGCATCTTTCAACATCACATGATTAAACAATTTGTCTAATCCGTGATATGAGGTGTTTTTTTTTTTTTTTTTTTTTTTTTTACTTTTTTTAGAAAATGAAAACACTGCTGAAGTGTCTGAGGTCAATGTTGTTGTGTGACCTCATAACGGTTTCTGGGAGCGCAACCAAGATCTTTCCATGGAATGGGGACGTGGAATATTCTCGGTTAGAAATTGCCGCGCGCATTACGTGAACTGGTTTATACTGCTGCCCTACCTTTATATCAGCGGGCTCGTGATCATACGGCGACTGAAGACCGGCATATGTGTCTAGAAGTGAAAAAGGTGGTGCTGTGCAGATTCAAATATAACCCACCAAAAATTGTTACAGATATACCTCAAGGTCTTGTGAGGTGGAGTTAAGCTTGGAGACACATTTGCCTGATGGTTTGCGAGCTGATCAAACGGGGGAAGGGAGGGACAACAATGAGCCAGGGCGCTTCATGGTACAGAAAGCTCCCACAACTCATTCGACTTATTCAACTACAACAATTAGAAAAGAGAAACTTGGAAAAGCAAAGACAAAAAAACGTAAATAAAATCATACACACACTTAGTTTACAATCACATGACATTATTATTATTTTTTTTAACAGATTGTGGTTTATATGACCTTTCACACCTAACTTACAAAAATACGCGCTGCAAGGTAAAAAAATAATTAATGTTTTTCTGTCTGATTCATAAGTCATACATTCACATTTGATGTATACAAAAATACCTGTAAAAATATTCTCTGATTGACTAAAACTACCGTCTGTCACGGTTACTGCAGCTATACGCCCTAACCCTTATATCTAATACCTAACACTGAAGTTTCTATCTCAAGGTCTACTCGTGAGCCGGCTAAGGAAAGCTGGCCACAGTTATTACCAGTTCTTTGAGTAACAGAACACAAGCAGCACCACGTTCTCAGCAATTATCCGTCCTGTGAGTTAAAAGAAATCAGCAAAAAGTAACAGCAAAAATGATTTTCCAACCTTTGCATCTGTTACTTAGTTGAAAGGGATTCCTATACTCCAGGTTAACTATTTCTGGTTCTATGAGTGCCCCTTGAAAACACGTCCCTACCTAGACAAATCACTGAATTCATGTATCAACACATTGAGGATTCGAAAGTGGTTGGCATCAAGGATCAAGATCTCCGCCAGAAATCCTCACCTACAAACTTTCCTACAGTTATAAAAAGATACCTTTTTAAGCCTAACTACATGTAATTAAGTTATAATTGAATTTTCTGAAAACCAGTTAACTGATTCGTACTAATTTGTTTAAAGGACTATTCCAATATGGACGAAGTATTACGAAAACTTTATCTCGTTATTACAACGACTTAAATGATTCCAATCCAGTTATTTCCATTCACCACCTCAAGAGCGATTTTGTCTTGGGTGGAATCTAACCGTCGGAGGAATGTGTTATAAACAATGACAAGCAGATTTATCGGAACAACGACGAGGTCGATATCAAAACAGCCTTACACTTAGTGCACTGTTTTCGAAATCGTAGGGAATACAGACACTCCTCAACTTTATACTGAAGTAAGAACAAGACGTTCATACAAAATCCGCAAAAAACAGATTTAAAACTGAAAAAAGATTACATCCAATTCAGGACAAATGCCAAACCTTTGGTCTGTCACGCAACGCTCTCCAGAATGGAAACTAGCGCGATGTTCCCAAAAGCAATTGGTAGTATAAAACCTAAATGGAACCTTCAACCTAGGCCAGTGCTTCAATTTAAAAAAATGACTCTGAGTACAATAATTATCTAAAAAGTAGGCTCGTATTAAAAACAAGAAAAAAGATGATGAAGGAAACCAGAACCCTTGAGATTATGCAAAAGTAAAAGAAGAAACATATGCCCGAGTTATACTGTAGATTAACAGGAAACTTGAGAATCGGGTGACAAAGATGGGAGTAAGGAATTATACCAAAAATACAACAAAACTGTAAGCTTATGTTGCCTATTAATATAACTACTAAAACTAAAACCACGTTCTCTAGTTTGTCGAGTTCGACAACAATGGGCAAGGTCCAGAGCGATAGCTGAACGAACGAAACCCCGTGAGGAAAGATCGCCCAGTTTTCGCAAGGTCGCTACAAGAGCGCACTTCGGGCGTGTCAAAGAAATTTTAACGACCAATCACAGCAAAAGTGAAAACCAGGAGGAAGAATTAAAAAAATTAACATGAGTAAACTGTGAAGCGCGGGAAAACGCGTGTGATTAAGTCGCAATTTGTTTTGGTTTTGCTTCTGGTTCAGAACGTGCACGTGGCACGTATTTCTTCTAAGCCAAACACACAATGTTGTAAAGAAACCCAAAGCAGTTCCGGATTACACTCGACACTCTACTGAAAACTGCTATGACTCGCACGCCCGCTATCATCTTTCTCTAGCACTAAAATGAGAAGCTTCTCAAAATGTTATGGGCCCAAAGTTTGTACCAAACGATTAACTTTCCTACGAACCAACATTATTTTTAAGCCAGGTTGTGATAATTTCTTCGTATTTCTTTAGCCACTCGATGTTTGCTTGTGTACGCTCGATGGCCTGTTTACGAGCATTCTCGCTTGTACCTGCCTCAGAACGGTCAAAGAATGCCTTCATCTGCAAGGAATTTTAAAAACACTATTATTGATAACACACCAATCAGCCCTATTTTTAATAAATTTATCAACGAATTAACTGCCATTCAAAACTTTGTGCTAATCAGATATATTTCGTGCTTTGGACGACATTCACTAAATAAAGCACAGGGACTGATAGAGAACTTTCTAAATCCATCTAGAAAAATATCACAATTGAACACTTCAAAAGGTCAGTCAACATATTTTAAGTCCTGGTGCTTGTAATATTTCTCATTTCAGGGACATTTACTGAAACAGAGCTGGTGGATTAGGGAATTCAGACCGAGTATTCATATGAAAATATGTCAAACCTGTTCCAGATCAGCCTCGGTACTAAACTGAGTCACACTGTTGGTGAGGCTCGTCAAACGGAAGGTACTAGTACTGAACCTGCAAAAAATTCGAAATGGCTCTAAGAAATGGATGGGAGACACCAAGGCCTTACGATCAGCGCTGAACTCCGGTCTGGACTCCGATTTGAGAGGTCTTGTCGGATTACCGCGATGATTCATGATGTGCTCTTGGACGAGACGCGTCACTCTCACGTTACCTCTCCCTAACCAGGAGTACAAATGGGTACCGAGGAACTGTCGGAAAAGCCTGACGAGATGCTGGGAGGAGGGGAGGAGGGGAGGGGGTTTGTGGTATAACCTGCAATGGCTACCATCCCACCAAGAGGTAGCAGTA